TCCGGTTTAAGACTGTTTAAGCTAATTATTAGCTCTGAAAGCAATAATAGTTAGCAAGTTAGTGTAAGAAATTAAAATCAATGTTTATATGGCGTAATTTAAATTAAATACACTGTTTTAATTAAAGCTCTTTTATTCTGAAAACCGGAAGTTCACATACACCGTTTTGATTTAAAACTGCTTTATTCTGAAAACCGAATGTTCAGAACATGACTTCCGGTTTCCGGCAGTAAATATCATCACTTTCGGTTAGGATTAGCATGTGGCTAATATTACGTTTTTTAAGAAAAAGTGAATTTAAGGAAAAAATGACACTCAGTGTTATACACTAAACACACCGTCTTTAACCCTCACTTATTGACACTGCAATACTTTTATTAGGGAATGTTTAAATAACCACAGACATTAAAATATTGTACATTGACAACAGGATTTGCATTGGACACGCCCCCGTCGACGCCGGCCAATGGGAGAAGACCACAGATGACATCAGGGGAAGCAAGCCAAGAATCGATCTCTCTTCCGCCCAGCATGTCCCCACGCGAATGGGTAGCAGCTGATCTGAGGGGGGGAGCCGCGCCACTCGCATATTTTCATTAGTATATCATCGCATTATTTGTTTAATTAAATGCTGTTAACTTTTATAAGCTTCCTTGGACTCTGTTCAGCTAATCCTGCTCTCAGGTTTAAATAATCTAATAAAACATATCCCTAGCCTTTTATTTTATTTTTATTTTGTATTGCCTTGCTGGCATTTTGTAACATGATTGTTATGTTGTAGTAACCAGTATGTTAATGCCATGTATAATGTGAAAATAAAACAAAATTGCTGGAATAAAGAGACAGAATAAGTATGCCTGGAGGAGGGTACCTGTTCTGGGCAACAGAGAGCTGCTGCAGGAGGGGCATCCAGGCGGCGCTGAGGCTCTGCAGGGAGGAGATGCTGTTGTCCTGGAGGTGCAGCTCGCTCAGGAGGACCTGGTTGCTCAGGCTGGGGGGCTGATGGAGGAACAGGGTGGAGCTGTCAGTAACACGGGGGGTTAGACTAACTTTCTGCTGCCGCTGCTGGTCCAGTGACGGATAAACGACCCCGTCCATCAACGTCAGCTGTTTCAGTCCTGCTGTGTTTACAGTCATCAGTTAGCCCTGCTGCAATCATGGGGAGCCTTAGGATACACTTAAGTTATTATTATACTGATTACTTTTGTTTGTATGTTTCATTCATTTAATTTTCTTGACTTATTAAGCAATTACCAGTGAGTTACTCTCTTTGATGTTTCTGAGACTTTGAGGTGAATGTATCCATCTTCTACTTGCACATTTTCTATTATCTTACGTGAGAAGTGTGTTTCGTTGAGAATTACACTAAGCAACATCACTTTCAGTTCACCTATTTTAAGTTTGTTACATCACGTTTTAGTTCAAGGCGGTCATTTTGTAGGATTTAAGGAACATTAAATCCCCAATAATGTTCATGGTTGGCTGGAACTGGTCAATTTGTGATATTTGACCGATTTTAAATGTCCCTTAGGATTTCCGATTTTGTTTTTGTTATTTTTTCCAAAGGGTGCACACTTGAAAATGTTCCATATGGGGTCTTTTATTCGTGAGTCGTGGGGGAAATGTATTGCAATGTGTTTTGTCAAACAGAAGCCCTGCACTCTTATGAATTGTATCGTTTCAAAATGATAATGTAAGCCCCCAAATTGGATTTCTATCACAAGTTGTTGATTTAAATAAATCTGCTCATCTGTTCAGATTTGCAACATTAGGTTTTCACTCCTATTCCTTTAAAAAAAATCTAATCTTGGTTAAAGGTGAATTTAATGGTATATTTTAGTTTTTGCATCTTGATAAGATTATTACATATACAGTATTTGTTTATCTTTTGTTTTATGTATACAAGATGAAAACTATTTTTAAATATGCTTTTCTTGCTGATTTTCCATGAGAATATCAAACATACAAAATATTTACATCCCTAGAAAATGAAACATGAATGCTGAGGGTGTTATTGTCCACGGTGACATCAGAACCAGTGCTTTCCTTGATGTTTGTTACCTCAGTGAGACTGTTGGCGCTCAGGTCCAGCGTGCAGAGCAGAGCGCTGTTCTCCAGACCCTCCACCGTCAACAGGTGGTTGTGAGAGCAGTTCAGGTGCAGCAGCGTGTAGACGTCCCTCAGTCCTCTGGTGCTGATCAGCTGGTTGTGATCCAATGATAACCGCTGCAGTCTCTTCATCGACTCCAGACCAGCTGGGGAAGACATTTATCGGCTTCAGATTGAGAAACAGCTCATGTTAAGTCTGCATATAAGCAGTAAAAAAAGCCTTTAAAGGTCTCCTATCATGCTATTTTTAGGCAATAGCATAGGTAGCATCAGATATATAAAAATATATAAAAAACATGTCTATGAAGTGTTTTGCTCAAAATACCAAACAGATGCCTCATATCCCTCTATTTCACTTCCTGATTCAAAAACGCTGATTTGGGGTATAAAGCTTTAAAAAAATAGATTAAAAAAAGGGAGGGGCTGAGCTCATGCGGGACCCGGCAGCTACTGTCTAAACTAAATACTGCGGTGATGAAACGCCATATCATGGATTATCAAGGATTATCTCTGAAACAGTATGGAGCTCAAAGGCTTTCTCTCTTGCCGGTTACCACAAGGTGAGTTCCTTTTTATTTCCTGCTTCTTCACACACATGCTCTCCAGTATAGGTTGAATGTTAGCGATGCTAATGTAAACACCGACCAGATTATGTCCAAAACAGTCGGGCATTGTTTCTGATAGCAACTTTCTGATAGGGCCTTGGGTGTAAAGCCAGCCTACATTTCAGATATTACGCAAATCTGGATCAGCTCCGTTGTAGCCCCGTTTTTAGAGATTTGGGTACGGAGGAAAAGAGAGAGGATTTTATTTGCTGACGCTGCGTGAGTTCCCTGACACACCGGGGACACATATTTATGTA